TCTTATTGTTGTAGGAAAGTGCACATAACTGCATTGTTCTCTCCCTTGGTAATTTAAACGTTTGAGCTTTGGTCTTTGGACCTATCTAACCGGAAAATATAAATAAAATTAGGATGAGGTTCATTTCGTTAGATATTTGAGAAACACGGACCAGATTTCGTCATTGATAGTACAGAGACAAAAATTCGGGTCTGATCGGTAAGGCCATTAAATGGAAAGCGCTCCTATATGCTGAAAATTAGCCCATCCATCCTGTTATAAACAAACGAGTGTGTTTAAGACTCGAAGGTTCAAACGCCAAGTGAAGGTAAAGCGGATATCACTTCTTAATTGCAACCTCTCCAGTAACCAAGATAAATATTTCATTGTTGTAGCAACATCGCAATCTTCAGTCAAGTGACTCAAGTATTCTATTTTCTATAGATATTGTGCATATTAAAACGTACATCGGGGTATAAATTAAGGGAACGAAATTGTCTAACTCTACCAAGGCCGGCGAGGACTGACATTATAGAAAGTAGTCAATTAGTTATAAGGGATCGATCAGTTTGTGGAACAATTTTCAAATGTAATTGAAAACAGTAGACGTTTTTCGAAAGCTATAACTATAATGAAAAATTAAGAGACTCGATGTTTAGCTGAAACTTTATAACTTAAATATATCTTGTTAATTGGATAGATGCATGTTGTTAAATAGATATAGATTAGCGTATTTAGATATTGTAATCTTTGTTATTCACGACCCTACCAGCTTTAGGTGTGTCTTTCAATCGTGATTAAGAAGTGCTTTAATCAATCAATCAATCAATCAATCAATCAATCAATGTACAAATCACATGACGAGAACACGTATACCGCAAGGTATAAACATGCATAGTATTCCAAAATTATTTTACCCTTAACAGTGATATCCAACATTATTATACATTTAATATGTATTCTCGTTTCTAATTGGTCAGAAAGCACCGGCTAATTTTCAGTATTCGGCATTTATTACGTATTTTCCGTCGATGACGTCATCAGCGTCCAATAATTGTTTTCTTGGATCGAACTTGCATCCAAAAAAAAAATTATTGGACTCTCTCGTGCCCAAATCCTTGCGCGGCCAAAAGCTTGAACCTATAAGCGCGCGAAAAAAACAAACAAACAATGGCCTACAGCTGATTTGCTTCGCTGAATGAAAGTGAACTCTCTAAATTATTGGCAGATAAGGATAGTGAAAGTACGAAAAAAGCCACAAAGGGGTAAATAGAAGTAGAAATAGAATATTTAGCTGACCTTTGACTTTGTGCAAGGTGTTTGATATTCAAATTGTACTTTTCTGACCTCATGAACAGGAATCGTTTTATATGTTTCTCATGTCTTTAAATGTATAATAAAAAATTATTGGGATCGGCTTTCGCATGATATCAATAATTATTCAGACCTCGGTCTATGTTATCCGCCTCCGCTTCGCTTCGGCAGATAACATCGACCTCGGTCTGAATAATTCTTGATATCATGCTCAGCCTCATCCAATAATTGCCTATTATAACTTGACCAGAAGTGCCACTGAGATTCACGTCATTCAACGGGCAAGACTAGAACATTTGCATTTCGTTATTCCGGTCCACATGCATTTGTGGAATCATTACCAAATTATTTTACTGAAATTAATTCCATATTTTAATTCAAAAACAAATTTAAGTATAATTTAAGAAATATAGCTGCTATAAACTAAATCAACTTTTTGGCTTTTATTTAATTGCTTTTCTTATAGTTTCATCATATTTAATATATCACATCATGCGAATGTTTTAACGTGCTTAAAAAACGACCCATCTTATGAGTTCATTGGCGAAGTAATTTTAAAAATAAACATTGTCTAAGCCGAGAAAATCAAAGCTAAAGTTTAAGTAAATCAGGGCCGTACACAGCGGGGGGGGCAACTGCCCCCGCCCGCCCCCAGAGAAAACTACATTTACGATTTTTAGAACAGTGTTATTATTAATTATTCTTTGGGTATTTGGGACTTTTTTCGGCATATATATAGGCCTTACTGCCCCCGGTGAAAAAATCCTGCGTTCGGCCCTGAAGTAAATCAGGACAAATATTTATCGGATTTACAACCATTGATTAAAATTTCATTTCTTTTGTATTTTCCTCATGAATTATTAAATGAGTTTTTAAAATTTTGCCGATAATGACGCCTTGAACAAAATAGCGATGATTATATTCTCGACAAGCTCTTATGAGCTAATAATGGTCTCCTCCTCACATCTTCATAATTATAAATTTGATAATATTGTCCTTTTAAATTTGTAAGTATTGTAAAGTATAGAACGTGTGAAAATTAAATTATTATTATAATTATTACGGTTTGGTTAAAATGATCAATAAATTGGTTATCTCAAATTCATTACGGCCGCCTGAGATTTCGTGCAGGGGTGGAAAAAATAGGCGAGCGCGCGAGCACTGCTCGCAGGAAATGTTAAACAGATGCAGGAAATTCGTTGGAGAATGAAGATTTGCTTTTGAAAATTCGAAGGAAACCTTAATACTCTATGTTCCACTATGGGCGCAACAACATATGGTTGACAGACATTCAGATTCCTTGAATTTAAAACCATCGTCAGCTAGAACACAGTATATATGTTTATGCAAATGCAGATTTAGCACAAAAACTACTCCGTTTGTCTGCAGGAAATTTTTGGCTCCAGGTCGGCTCCCAGGAAGAAAATTCTTTTTTTATAACAAAATTTTTGTTCAAAACCTTGTTTTTTATATTTTTGTTTTGAAGTCACAATTTAATATTTCTTTCTACGTGACTGGGATGAGGAACAGGACTTTCGTCCCAATTAATACCTCACCCCTTATGACTACAAAGCATGACGTTCTCAATGTACAAACAAACGAAGGCATATGACCATGACCTGATTATAAATTTAACTCTAATTCTAACTGAAAAATATATCGGTTGCTCACACTCCATAGAAAGTCCATGAAAGTCCCTATAATTTTACATCACTATATATATTTACAAACAATTAATTAACATTTAGTACACATAAACTTAATATTAGCGAGGGTTAGAATCATAAGAAGTTTGTATGTTATCGATTTGCTATGCTACAAGTTAATTATGTCCCAAAGTTTTGATGATCTACTAAAGTAAGGAGTTTTTGAAGTAATCATGATTATGTTTGTTGATAAGGTAGAAGTCATTTTCGTATAGTAGTTTTGGTGACGTCACAATTACAGGGATTAGCCATATAAAAATATTTGTTGCTGACCAAATATTGATTGGTAGATGTTTTAAATGTTTTCTTTGAAGGTGATCTTGATATTTCGAAGGGCAGACAGAGTACAGTTTTGAGTGCAAAATGATTAGTGGTTTTCTAGATAAAAATATTGCGTGACCCCTGTTGTGACGTGACACGCATATCTATAAAAATTGAAGATGGCGGACATTTTATTCCTTTCGATCAAAATATTTGTAGAAGTAAGCAAGATATGAAAAAACGTTAAAAGAGTATCATATATAGTCTTGAAAGTTCTTTCAAATGAGAAAATAAAAAATATATTGCCATTTTCTCTTTCCGGCGATAAATAAAAAATATAGAACTATCTAAGAAATTATACGAGTATTTCTGGGAATTCATTCTTTACACTACATCGAAAACACCTCACTCTATAAGGCAGCAATTTGATTTAATGAAACAAATTCAATCTATCATTCACTGGTTTCACCACATGAGTAAACACTAGTGATATTAATATCTCAACATTAATATCATGACAAGATAGACCGATTCAAAACAGTTTTGCGATTGAACAACGTCGTGTTATACAATTATTCACTGTTTACTTATGTATAGGCATAGTTCAACGTGACACTGCATGTAAATTAGGCTACGAAGGAAGTAGAGATATGACATAATGAGACATAATGAGTGATATGAATCAAGCCTTTAAACCGCAGTCACGTTTAAAAGCTAGAACCAGCTGACAGCTGAAGGAATTAGAGTATAAAACAACAACAGAAAAATGAAAGCATCTTGAAAAACAATCAAACAAGTCAGGGAGCTGCAGGTAATTTTACTTACCCTCTCGAGGAGCAAATCCATTATGCTCTCAAATTGTCTGTTGGATGTCCAACATAACAATTCTGGATCCGCTATTGTCCGGCCCAACTTTTCTTGTGAGCTTCGGCCAACACGTTTTTCTTCGATTTTACTATAACACTATTGTATTGTCAGAAATGGTGGACTTTCAAGTTCATTCATTAGAAAAATAACTTGTATCATCAGAACGCTCATAAAAAAACGACATATAAGACATTATTACTGTTACCTTGGGTTTCCAAGCGGTTTCTGATTAATAGCTACCTCAAAATGGGAAAAAAAGTTCAAAATGGCGCAAATGTCCAGGGTAACTCAACAAGTAATGTATTATGTGTAGGTTTTTATGAACTCTCTGATGACATAAGGTGTTTTTACAATAAACGAACCTGACATTTCACCTTTTTTGACAATAATAGAGTTTTATAGGAAGATTTTTAAGAAAACGTGTTCCTGTAGCTCCCTGACAAAAAACGTAAATTTAAATGATATAAAATGGTTGAAGTTTGATGCTCATGCGATTACAGAACATATGATGTATGATTTAGAGTGTATTATCAAGCATATACTCGGGTAACAGTGTTACAAGTGTTACACTATCTTTATTTAGGGTAGGGGTGGGGTTAGGGGTTAGGGTTAGTGTACACTATGTAACACTGCCAACACTCTGTAGCACTATGTAGCACTGTGGAACACTATGTAACAATGTGTAACACTATGTAACACTGTGTAACACTATGTAACACTATGTAACACTATGTAGCACTGGAACACTATGTAAGAACATGTAATATTGTTTAACACCGTGTAACATCTGTAACAGTGTTACAACTGAGTGCCATAATAAAGCCACTCTAATCGTGCATGGTATATTACAGAATAATCATCTGACCGTTTAGTTGCCTGCTTGTTATATATTTACCATGGTTATATTTATATAATTGCAATATTTACATTCATTTCTATATGTACAAATGTGATAAATTTAATTAATTAAACAATTATTGTGCCAAATATGTACAGGTTCAATTCGGTCCCATCATTTATACAGGTTATGTCTTGTGTAGATAAATCATTTAAATATACAGGGAATATAAAAAAACTGAACAGATTCAGTGAAATTTTTCTCAATTTCGCAAAACAGCTCATGGTATTAAGTTTTTGTTATATATAGATTCCTTGAGTACCCATAATGTAAACACAAATTGTGTAAACCAGGGGAGTGTTTCTTTCCAACAAACTAAAAATGGCTTGCACACGAAATTTAAAGATTTTTGTATTTTAGTTAATGGATGGAAAATTTGTTGGGTTTTTAATTACTGTACAAAATTACAGACAATTTGCTTTAGTTTAAGGTAACTATTCATTTTTTCCTAAAAAAATCAATCTTTCGCATGCTTAATTAATGCCTTTACCTAATTTGCATATTGCTGACATATGCAAATTAGGCAAAGGCATTAATTAAGCATGCAAAGGGCTGATTTTTTAGGAAAAATGTAAGTTTGCGTGAATAGTTAAAGGGCTTAAACTGAAGCAAATTTCAGGCAGCAATTAAACACCCAACACATTTTTCACCCATTAACTCAAAATACGATTGAAGCTTTTAAATCGCGTGCGCAAGCCATTTTTAATCTGTTGAAAAAGACACACACCCTTGGTTTACAAAATTTGAGTTCGAGAATTTTTTCCTTATTCTACATTATAAGTACCCAAAGAAGTCATATATATCAAAAACTGGATACTAGTAGCTGTTTTGCGAAATTGAGAGCAATTTCAAATCTGTATACATAAGTTTACCCACCATATAATCCGTAAATTTGAAATTTAAATCCTAGGTTCTATTCTCGGCTAAGCGAGAAAGTGTGTTTACAGACGCGTGCGATATATTATTATGTACAATGAAGTGAAGATCCCCGTGGAATCCAGTTGTAAAGTCGATTATGAATACTATCTTTTATCTAACACAGTTTATATTGTAAGTTCTGTTATTAAATCCTTTCGCAGATCAGGCAGACAATGTATTTTATCGAGCTCAAGTTCCATTGCTAAGCTCATCAATTGATTATCATCAACACTATTGTATAGATCTTCACTTCTATTGATTTCATGATCACTTTTATTGATTACATGATCACTTGTATTGATCACATCATTATTTATTGATTGTCTTCTCAGCTTGGCTCCACGTCCAATGTGACTGGGTAACTTGCGTTTAGCCAGCCTCGTGTTCTCAATTTTTGTTTCCTGCGTTTTATCGTCTCTTTTTAAAGATGACGTCATGTGTCCGTTTGTCTGTTCTTGCATTAGTGCCCAGTCTTCTTCGGGTGGCAGCGTTGGATGGATAATATCTAACAAAAGGCTATAATCACCGTCGCACAGGGAACACGAGGGATTACTACATGTGTACACAACTATCCCCTGACTTGGTGGTGAAGGAGGCATTCCATATCCATCAAATACCGTAGATGTACAAATATTGCATGAAGGATCCTCACATTGGACGATCTTGTATTTTGATTCCGTTCCAGGGTTGATTGTATGCATGCTGAACCAGATACCTGAAATTTAAACGATTGTGTGTGATTATTTATCACCAGAGGCAGACGCTTATCATACAGGTGCTTGACAACTCGCTAGCTTAAAGGTGATCTACAGTCCGATCTGCGCATGTGCACAAAGGAGCCCACTTTTTATTATACAAACAGTTTAACTATGTTTTGGGTTCTTGAAAAGCCTGATTATTGTTTCTTGATCATTTATTATACTCTAGAAGCTTGAAAATATAAATAGTTGTCGAATAAAGCTCAATTTTTTGGACACAAAAATGTAAACAAAGGCTTTGTTTACATACGGACTGTAGAGCACCTTTAAGGGTTAGTTTTTCGTCTGGGAAGAAACTCGAGGACACCCCCCCTCGATACACAGAGGGGAGTGCTCGAGGCTCGATTTCCGTGCTACAAATACAATACCTGGTACCAAAGTCAATTATTCGCTTTGGACTATAATAAGAAGCAGCAGCCAGAACGAAAACAAAAGCAATAAAAGCAATAAAAACAACTACAGCAACAGCAGCAACAACAACGACGACGACAACAACAGGAGCAACAGCAACAACAGCAACAACAACTGCAGTAATAATAACAACAATTGCAGTAACAAATTTTAAAATAGTGATAGCAAACACAACAACTGCAGCAACAATAACAACAACTGCAGCAACAATAGCAACAACTGCAGCAACACAACTGCAGCAACAATAACAACAACTGCAGCAACAATAGCAACAACTGCAGCAACAATAACAACAACTGCAGCAACAATAGCAACAACTGCAGCAACAATAACAACAACTGCAGCAACAATAGCAACAACTGCAGCAACAATAGCAACAACTGCAGCAACAACAGCAACAACTGCAGCAACAATAGCAACAACTGCAGCAACAACAGCAACAACTGCAGCAACAATAACAACAACTGCAGCAACAATAACAACAACTGCAGCAACATCACCAATAGAGAGCTTTAGCAGCGACTACGAGATTTGTCAATGCGAAACGCACACTAACAACAACTGCAGCAAGCATAGCAACAACTGCAGCAACAATAACAACAACTGCAGCAACAATAGCAACAACTGCAGCAACAATAGCAACAACTGCAGCAACATCAACAGCAACAACTGCAGCAACAATAACAACAACTGCAGCAACATCACCAATAGAGAGCTTTAGCAGCGACTACGAGATTTGTCAATGCGAAACGCACACTGTATGCTTACGCCATCCCATAATGACGCGAAAAAGTCATAGCTGTCGCCCATCTGAGTACGAAATTTTGGAGAAATCTCGTAGTCCTCATGACGACTTTTTAAAAAACAAAGAATGTTGAGTTTTATTTGTTTTTCAAACATGATTTGTACCTGGTGCAAATAATCTATTAATACTAAGTATCTGCCTCGATTTTAACCCCACTTATTCATGACTTATTTGCACTGAATTCGTGTATTATTCCCCATAGAAGGGGCCAATTTTGTAGGGGATTTTACTCGTACTCGTAGACGCTGCTAAAGCTCCCTATTCAGTAATACGACAATAACAACGACAAAACAACTGCAGCTGACTACAATTAACAACAACAGCAGTAACAGCGAACTAAAACAACTAGAAATAAAAACTAGAACAACAAGCAACAGCAGTAACAACAACAACTAGCTACAACAAAACAACCACAACAATAACATTAACTGAACAAGAATGGCAGAAACATGCAACCAAACACCAATAGCAATAACAAAAACAACTTGGCAATAACATCAACACCACCAGCAGCAGCAATAATAATAATAATAGCTAGTACTAACTTGAAAAATCCCACAAACTTGGAGCTGTGACATTGCCCAAGGCCAAGTGTAGTATATTGCGAGATAGCAGAGCGGAAGGAATTAAATAAGTAATATTAATGGTACGGCCATTTGAGACAGACAGATGGTAAAATCATTAGGCACTAAAATGCTGAATAGCCCACGCTGTCTGGATTTTAACATATGAATATTATCTCATCTATGCCAATGAGTAATTATAGCAAAAACATTATTAACCTTGCAACTGCTGAGAATGGCACTTTTAATTGTATAATAGCTGGCTGAAATTCCTCTAATTATATAAGCATTCCAAGCTGGCCAAACTCCTATATTAGTCAAAATAAATTATTTCAATGGATATTGCGGCTCTGATATTGTTAGTCAAATGGTTGCGAGTGTGTAAAATATTATTTCAGTTCTCTGTTCATGATGACTGTTTTTAATCAGCCCACCTATAATTAATATCCAGTCTCGGTATGGATCGACATTATTATGCCAACATGGCGGACTTCGAAATCGTTTTGGTTGGAATTAAGCAAACTGCATCTTCTATTATTACTTTAATAGTGTCATTACTTTAATAATGCCAAAAAATAACATAAAACAACCTTATAATTACCGATGTAGTTATATACTTGTTAAATAATAAATATTTTTATTTTGGTTGTATTTTACCCAATATTGCCATATGTAAATTAATTAAACGTTATAGGCCTATATCAAAATCTAAGTTTAGTTAGTTGGTAAAAATACAATGCACACATGACGGTGAAACGACCAGATTTATAAATAAACGTTGACTAAGGGCCGGGGCCGATTACATGGACAACTTTCAACTCCGGGGTTGAACTCAGCCCTGTTAACCGGGTTGAATTTTTTTGCGATTACATGGGCGATTTCAAGCCCGGGGTTGAAACGCTATACTATACGTTCTCGGCATCGATTCTCGGAAGTAAAAAAGCCTTTATTTTGTTTTCTTGTAATAAATAATCACTACCACGTATGCTCGAATAACTCATGATAATTTCAGCCCTGGGTTGAAATTTCAACCCCGGGGTTGAACTCAGCCCTGGGTTGAAAATTTTGTCATGTAATCGGCGTTTGATTTTGATAGAGTTTTGTATTACAGACAGGGCTGAAATTTCAACCCGGTAAACAGGGCTGAGTTCAGCCCCGGGGTTGAAAATGTTCCATGTAATCGGCCCCTAACATAGATAATGAGTTATATTATTATTCTAATGAGTTTCACAGCCATCTTAGGCTATGGTCTACCAGAGGTACTTTTGCAAGGCTGACACAATGCTTCTGGCATTAAGTGATCTTTATTTCATTGCGACAGCTTTTATAGCTGACGTTACATGAAACTGAAAAACTGAGGCACCCGGTATATTTTAATATAGGTCAAAATCGGTACAAAATATCCATATGAAGCCTTTATGTGGAAAATTTTATCCCACTGTGACCAGTGAGATCCCAGCACCTAGGTCAAACGCAATTTTTTATCCCATCAATTTACATCATAATTACGACATGGTTTATGAGTTGTTCATTTATTGTGTTATAAATGTTGTGTTTGTTACTATAAAGAGATGCCTCCTATGATATTACATTAGTATAATGCAATCATTAACTTGGTATTTAAAAGAGTCGCTCAAAACATCAGAAATGTTTGGCTATATACAGGGAGTCCCCCCAGAAATACGATAGCTACAGTATATGTTTCAGATTTTTATGCGACTAATGTAGTAATGAGTGATTCCAGCTATAAGGCCACATAAAAAAAATTACTTGTTTAGCGTCCCCGCCCGACCTGATAAAAGTCCCCGACCTCCAATTTTTTTTTAAAAATTTGTCCGAGTTTAGTGGAAAAACTCTCTATAAAAAGACCGTTTTACTTGAAAAAATGGTGATTTTATTCTTCTGGGAGCTATGTAATACGTTTACACAAAGTTTCCTTCCCAGAATATGCCTGTTCGCAGCTAAAGTGTTCGCGCGTGACCGCCAAACGGTAATTTTCTGTTTTATTAAAAACATGAACGGGAAGTTAAAAAACATGAACGGATTTTGAAAGAATTAAAGTGAGTTTTGACTGTGGTAATATACTGGATTTCCTGCATTTAGCAGAATTTTGTGTTGCATTTTACGAAAAAAAAAAAAAAATCCGTCCGCCCGACCTAGAAAAATTAAAATGGGTGGACGCTAAACAAGTAATTTTTTTATGTGGCCTAAACTAAATTTTGATCAATCAAACAAGAACGAAATCCAACAGCACAGCTAGAAAGAGCGTCTTAGAATGAGTAAAACTGCAAAGATTGATTGCTAAATGTCGTACTGAAATGAAGAAAATATATAGCCTTGTGAAGTTCGCAACTTTTGTATATATTTGTATTACGCGCGGTAAAAATAACCACTTTCCGTCTTTCGGCTCAAAAATGATCATTTTTCCCGCGCCGTAACGTCAAATATATACAAAATTTTGAACTTCACAGCGCTATATTTCCTTCATTTTACAACAATTCGGCGGCAACTGAACTTTGCAATTTTATACTCATTTCAACTGACTTCTATGGTAATGGATTTAATTTGGTTCTTCGATCTTGTCTAGATCAAAATTTCGTCTAAAGCTGGAATAATGCCTCCATCAGTTAGTAGTTATCAAGAATTAGACTAAAATTTTGACAATTTGTCTTGGAACCAATTTTATGGTCGGTAGCCTGCGTAGCAGGCTCTATTTACTAATTAGTAACGGCTGACTAGACCTTTTGGTATTTTAAAACACAAATGCGAAATGTTGTAAAATGCGGAAAATATAGCCTTGCAAATTTTGTATACTTTTGTATTGCGTGCGGAAATCGCTACCACATTTGGGACGAAAATGGTATATGGCAATTTCCGCACCGGCGCAATACAAAAGTATGACAAAATTTGCAAAGTTTGCAAGGCTATATTTTCCGCATTTTACAACTATTTCGCAACCAAAGTTTGTATAATTTTACTCATTTTGGTATGCTCTTTCTAGCTGTTGTGATTTATTTGCATCTCCTTGCCTAGTTTTAAAATAGTCTATAATAGGATTTGTCTGTTGCATTCAACAATGCATCCGATCTTAATCATGACCAGTTTAGTCAACAGAAAACACAGGAATGACCTGCAGGATAGCATTAACAGTACTAATTTAAATCAGACATGAACATGCAGTTTAGGGCCTCTGGCAGAGAAATCTACAAAATCTTTCAATAGTAGTTCCATATTATATGGCTATATTCAGTAAGGGGCGGACCATTAGAAATCCCGGGAGGGGGGGGGGGTGAAAATTCCCCCAAAAAAATTCGTGCAAAGAAAAATGCCTGGAAAAAAATTCGTGCAGCCATTAACTCAGAGAAAAAAAAATCGTGCAAGCAAACAGCAAAGTACAAATAGTCTTGAAAAAAAATTCGTGCAGAGGTTAAATGCATTAAAAAAAATCCTGCAGAGACATGAAACTGAAAAAAAATTCGTGCCGCAAACATTTTATACCCCCCACCCCCTCCCGGGATTTCTAATGGTCCGCCCCTAATATTTCCCTGGGGGTACCAGAAGGTTCCGGACTGACAGACAAATTATTGGTTATGGAATGTCGGCAGCGTGATAAAATTTTCATAAAATTAAGAATGCTTCTGTTGACACTGAATATTGTAATTCCTAATCATGCTGTGCGCAATACAACACAAAGAATCCTACATTGGTTTTAACACATGCTAAACATAGCCATAGGATTATTGTCTGAAGAGTTTGAACAGGAACTCAAGTTCTCGAATTGACAAGACATGACGCAGAATTTATTTTATTTTTCTTATCTTATTACTGTTCACGAGTCAACAGCCCCCGATCGAGATTCCTCACGGGATAAGGTTTTTCCTGGCCTCCCGACGATTTGTCAGTTATCGATTGTAAATGATAAACGCTACCTTTAAAAGATAATCTCAATGGATTGTAAAATCAGTCGGTTACTTCGCGTCATTTATTTATAATGGTTATAGTCAAATTTAATAAATCTAGTACCACACAAGTCACCAAATTGCACTAGCCCATATACCAAGTCGTTTAAATACTCGTTACACCTCGAGGAAATAAACGCACGCTGCGCATCAAAGCTATACGAATAAAACACAAACACTATAAACTATATGTATACAATTATTAAGAAGAATAAAAATCGAAATTTTACCTGTGCAGAAGGAGTTTTTTCTATTGCTAAAAGTCTTCACTTGTTTGATGTCGATTCGACAACCGCGTCTTAAAAAGCTCTTGTGTTTTAAATTCAACTCACAGCAAGGCCGTCTCTCTTTGGGTCTTTGAAACTGAAAACTTGAACTCACTAGGACTTACGTCATTGCCAGCCGGATTATGGAGTCACACGTCGCGTCAATTAATAGCCTTAGAAAAACACTTTAATTTACACATCAACACTCCCCCAACGGAAAGGAAGTAATTTTGCATATTCCGCGCGTGCTTTCCCAAATCTTGTTGATCTTCTAAATAAAGGTGGCTCGCCACAATTTTTGAGATATGCATGGGAAATTTACTATTTAGATCGAACTTTCTGAGGTATTATTACTTGCTAGGAAACGAAAATTATATGATTTATGTGGAAGAGCATTCTAAAAGTTGGCAGAATTTATAAAAATGACGACACTGCCAGTGATATGGTAACAGTGACAATTCAATACGGCCGATATTTTAGTTTTTAGTAGCGCATTTTACTCCAAATTAACCTTCCCCCCATTTTTCATTAAAACATTTTCATCTAGTACAATTGAACATGTAAACGCGCTCAAGATGGCGGATCCCACCGGGCACACGACGTTGCTTCAATGTTGAAATTTGGTAGAAAACTGAAAGGTTGCGACGTCGACAACCTAATATCTACGTTGCTCTGACGTTGTTTTACAAACATTGGTTCAACAGCAGCCAACAAACGTTGAATTAACGTTCATTCATGGTTAAATGTACGACGTCGATTTGTAAACAAATCTCAACGTTGCTTTAACGTGGATTCAACGTTGATTGGCAACCTTATTTCATTGATTGATTGATTGGCAACCTTATTTCAACATCAAGGACATTTATAACATTTTCAGCATACAAAGGGATATATGTACAAGTAAAAAAAATCTGTACAGCCAAATAAAAGTACTTGTTATACGAAACAATCATGTTTAGTATTTTTTTAAAACTTTACTCACACGGTTAAATCACACCCTGTGAAAAATGACACTAAAATATTATCATTGTTATGATAGAATGAGCGGTGTCTTCAATAAACAAAATTAGTCGCTCAAATATTATTCTATAGACATGCGCAGGAAGTGCGTACGTTATCATTTGTGTCTAATGGGAAGAATGTCGCATATTATTCTGATTTTATTTCCCATCCGTCCCCTGGTTTGGCAATTAAATTTGTCTGTAGCAAACACTGCGATACAGGGATAAACATTACTGAATCATACACGCGTTGATAATACATTTGGTTATCTTGCGAATTGCAGGGAAAAATACTGTTAGAAGGAAATTTAGAGATTCCATTTCAGTCTAACATATATTAGTAAAAATTTAAACTAAATCTGACTAAACTTTATCGATACTAAATAACTTTACCAATTCTAAACTGTCTAAACTAACATAATATATATTGGACAGCTCTATCAGTTCCGTAAACTGTTTTTCCTATAGAGGTCCAGTAAGGATCATCTCTTGTTTGTTTCAATGTTACTACAAGGAGGAAACTTTAAACTATGTAAGTTTATATTGGATGGCTCTATCAGTTCTCAGCCAACTGTTTTCCCTATAGAGGTCCGGTAACGGATCATGAATGACTGATTCAGTATTGCTATACAGATGGAAACCGACTAAACTAACATGATTTATATAACGGATAGCTCTAGCCTCTATCAGTTCCAAACTGTTCTCAGTCCATACATAGAGGCCCGGTAAGAGTCCGATTTCTTAATGTTTAGCGTCACCATTGGAGGGAACTAACTTTATCTATGCTCCGAGTAGCTCTATTGGTTCTAAATTGCTTTCTCCAAAGATCCGGCAAGGCGGGCCTTCTTGTATTCAATTTTACAACATGAAGAAACCTAAACTAACTTTATCTATACTGGATAGCACTATCAGTTCTAAACTGTTCTCCCTAGAGGTCCAGTATAAGGATCATCTCTTGTTGATCCAGTGTTACCACAGAAGGAAACCTAAACTAAACTAACTTTATCTATACTGGATAGCACTATCAGTTTTAAACTGTTCTCCCTAGAGGTCCAGTATAAGGATCATCTCTTATTGATCCAGTGTTACCACCGAGGAAACCTAAACTGAACTAACTTTATCTATTCTGGATAGCACTATCAGTTCTAAACTGTTCTCCTTGGAGGTCCAGCAAGGGCATTGCCTTATTATTCTAGTGTTATTATTACCCTAGACTGTAGAGGAAACCTAAACTAAACCGCGAACTTGATGTGTACTGCATGAATAGCTATATAGCTATATCAGTTTTATTAAACCGTGTTCACTAAAGTTGCAGTAAGGGCCATCCATTTTTTGTTGTTCTATAGTGTAACTGTTACTACAAGAAGAAACCTAAACAAAACTAAATTTATTTATACGGACTGTATAGCTCTATCAGTTCTAAACTGTCAGTTCTCACTGGAAGTCCATAAAGGATCCAATTCCTTATTGTTCCACTTCCAGTGCTATTGGTGTACAGGAGCGGAATTCATTCAATTCAGGAGCGGAATCGTTTTTTATACATTAACTGACTATAGGAACATACGGGGGAAATTTGGTTTCATAGACACTTTAAGCAGCCTTTATCCCAGTGGTGTGTTATTCCAAAACTCTTAGTACAGTTCCTCATAATCGCAAATAATCCAAAAAACATTTTCCAAAATAATCCCGGAACCTGGCAAAATTTGAAAATCTCTAAAGTCCGAAACTAATTCCCCTGTCAATTAATGATCTCAAAAATCTCGTCGAAATCTGGAAACTAGTCCAAAATGCAGCCATTTAAGATTTTGAAACGAGATTTAACATTAGTCGCAAGAAATTCCACTAAAAAGCAGGGCTGTTTTCGGTTACATAACCCTCATTTTGGCCACCTGTGAAGATCCTTTTTCTCTAAAATGTAAGCAAAACATTGGAAGAACAATTGGAATTTATAAGGGAGGTTTGATAATCTGAGTAACTGAATCTTGCTTTGTGAATCTTATGACATGTCTTTTATCTTCAAATGTCTCAATGTCTTTTTAAAACTGCTAGACATTGTGTTGTAAATACCAGTTTAAATGATAGTTTTAAATATTTCCCTGAGTGGGTAGCACTACCAGGCAATAGATTTGAGTTGTCGGAATTCTAGGTTAACAAGTTAGTGACTGATTTGTGGTATTTACACAAACGTATTATGCAAATACTTAATTGAAGATTCAGTATAGATCTACAGTATAATGTAACTCTGTACAGTCGAACCTCCATTAAGCGGCCCTCCATTAAGCGGCCACCCTCTATTAAACGGCCACATATCGAAGTCCCAAAATTTTTGTAATACAAATACTATAAACTATCCCTCTATTAAACGGCCACCAAAATAGAGTAGCAAGGGTCATATTATAGGTTATAAAAATGAGCACGGTCAGTCTGAAGCAGCGTTATCCGAGTTGGGTTGGAAAATTAACCTTAAAAGAACGCAGGCTGATCATGAAGGCCAGACTTATGTATAAAATTACTCATTCGTAAGCACCATGCAGTTGCTTTGACCGGAATCTTTGAAAATTCACAACAAATCTATAATTTACGTAATAACGAATTCAAATTGTATTTACAGAAACCTAATACTGAATACTTAAAGAAAAGTATTGGGTTTTGCGGTGCAAAACTTCGGAATGAATTACAGTCTGGCAATCTGAGAATTGCAGATTGTTTGAATTCATTTAATACCCTGATTGCTGACACTAGCCTGCTTTAGATCGATTGTATTCTTTGTTATATATATAATATTTATATTATTAGTGTGTGTTATGTTACTTTATTCATGTACCTTTTAAATCTGCACGCCCTCCTTGGAAATCAGCATTTGCTGAAGGAGTAAGCGTGTCTAAAAGTTTTATCTTATCTTTATCTTATCTTACCTCTATTAAGCGGCGGTCCCAAATGATGTTTTATGTCAATTTTTACCTCTATTAAGCGGCCAGCCTGCAGGATTCGTAGGTTTAGATATAGGTAATGAGAACCATATTGGTGTCCCAGTAATAAATTTATGCCAAATAGTCCCTAAATGTTTGTTCAAAAGGTTTAGTGTGAAATATGATAGTGTGATGGCCTCGTGTTGTTGGCACAATGAATGCCTGAGAAAAAAAATGTTATAGTAGATGAAACTGAGAATTAAAGATAAAATCACTACTGCCAGATTCTGTGATTTATAATTAAAACTAGACATTTGACTATACGCCCAGGGTCTATTATTTGCGTACCTCTATTTAGCGACCACCTCTATTAAGCGGCAACAAAGCCGATCCCCGAGGGTGGCCGCTTAATAGAGGTTCGACTGTATTTTGAAAAGTGTGTTTTAGAACACATAGGAATTTTTGTGGGAGAGAATGCATGCCCTCGTGTCCCCTGCTATTATACATACGCCACTACGCCAAATTTTTGTCACAAACAACCATCTCTCCACACTCAGTATAGCATGGTCCTTTCTTTCCCCCCCCCCCCATGAAAAATTCTTAAGCCTGGCTTCCATATGGAACGGTCGCGGTAAAAATTGAGTCACAGTCTTTCTCATCAGCCGAAATACAAAATTTTACAACTGAAAAATACGCGGAGTGATTATAATTAGAGAATACTTATATGATTCATATGTGGTTTACAGGTATAAACTATTATAAACTGGCCGTTGAGAAAGATCGTGACTTCATTTTTACCACCATATGAAGGTCCTGCCCAAACATCCGACAAAATTCCAACTTTGTCTCAGTGATTTGCACACTCCTATGTAGATGCCCAGCTGGCCTCTCCCCCGTGCAAAATATTAAGGGAGTTCAAGTCCCCCCTTCGGCCCGGGTCGTGGCTGCATGATGGAGTATAGAGGCAGGTCTTCAAGATGGCCGCCAGCTTTTAAGATCATTAAAACGTAAAAGAATGAACAACCAGCTACTTGCAACAATACTAAACCTTACCCTCTTCACACCCCTAACCCCCACACTAACCTTAATACTACGCAAACTCTTATTTCAATTTTGGAACCACCTCGTAAACTATACCTCTCGTACACCCCTTTTAGGCCAAGTAAAAAAAAAAGTAGTTTCTCGTCCGAATTTTGAAAGAAAAGCTAAGGTTTGATATTGCAAATATTGAAGTATACTCATAAAACGTAAATATATTAAAACAGACAAACAGCTACTAATGCAATATGGCACCAAAATACGGAACAGTAAGCAAGAGTTTACGAAAATTACCAAACGGCAACGAACTATGCCGAAAGGAGCAGAATAGCCGAAATACACCAAGTGGAAATTCTTTGAAAGGCTCGAATATAAAAATTTTAAAAAAAAGAAAAATCCATGCGGCAGGGAAAAAGGATGGGGGCGGGAACGAGAAACTACTAATTTTTTTTACTTGGCCTTAGACATTAAAAGACAGATTTAGATTGCATGAGGACGTGTACGTCAAAGACGACGTGAAAATGTCCACAACATGCTATTTTAACGTCGTCTTTGACGTCCTCGATCTAAATCTGTCTGTTACCCTTCACAGTCCGCCTTGGTTCTCACAGGAAACTAATGCGCGTATTGCGTATTTTGCTACCTGAAGGTGAAGAAAGGCGTGACAAGGGTTTACATTAATTGTGACAGTGCTATATTTTTTTATTGCCATTCAAATATACGATTATCGAAATCGCGAAGTTCAGGGTTACACAAACACAACATGACAGACTTAGGACATCGATGATTGATTAATATCTAGAATGTTGCTAATTATGATCGCCGTCTGTTTAAAAACGTCTTTTTGTAAATGCTTTCTGCAAGTGCGTGAATCGTGAATTACGACGTCACGATAAAGCACCGCGAAAAATTGTGTTGAAAAACGAGGTGCCATAGCCGAGTTTTTTTCTCGCCTACTGTGAGATGTTTCGTATACACCAGTATTAAACAACTATAGAGTTTATTAATTATATATACTACCTCTCAAACAGACTTTTTTGCTAATTTATATATGGGCGTTTATTACCGTGGTATTAAGACAACTATACGCGGCGCTGGTTTCCTATATGTGTTTTGCTATATGGATAGTTATAATGACCAATTAAAAAAAAAGTTGTCCTTTGCAGACCTTAAACTCTAGACCTTAAATCGTGAACTCTAAGCGTGCAAGGCATATTGGGAGCATCATAGCAATATATATATATATATATATATATATATATATATATATATATATATAAATAGCAGTCCATGCATGCAGATATATATGTCAATGATAAATATATACGTAGAGATATATCAGTTAAATCTTGTATATTTCGTTGGTGTTGTTTT